CTACGCATAATGAGCTCAAACCTTCTCATCTAAAGTGCTTTTGGTACTGCCCCCCCTTTTCAATGGTAGTTTAAATAGCACAGAATACATGTATGCATCTTCCGTGATTTTTATTTCAGCATTTTGATATTTCATTTTCCCCTCCATTCCTCAGTGATAATATCCTTGTAGGAAATCTACCTTTCTATGCATGAATATGGTTGCATATGCATTTATTTTAAGATTTAAGTTTCCTGTACATGACTCACCCACCTCTTATATTCATCGATTCTAAACATTTTAACATTTCTTTCTATATATTTATTATCTCCTCACCTGGATAGCAAGTTATTTGTAGAATGAACTGTTCATTCTTCCAGATCTCTTAACCTTTCATATTTTCCAATTGTTTAGCTCTCTACTTTATATTTTAAGTAAATTCTTCAGAATTAGCATTAGCTAATTTATTGCTTAATGCATGTATTGGTTTTTAATTTACTCAACTAGTTCTGGAAATTTTGATTTTTCAACTACCAACTCATCTTTTCACAGTATATTATATTCTCTTATTATAACTTCTAATCCGTTTTTTAACATTTCCATCATTTTAAAAATAACTATTTTTTGTGTCTTGTTCAGATTGTTCTAAGACTGGGGCCATGCTAACCATCTTATTTGATTTGCCTGATCACTCTACCTGATAAAAATGGTGCAATTTATAAAGTTTTACTATAGGCTTATTTTCAGTTTTTTAAAAGTTTTACAATTACTTACTTCCCCTCTCACCCTCCCCCAATGGATGTTTGCCCCAAGTTGTAAAATTCATTCCTGTAAAGGATTATTAATTTCTATAGTTACCTCAAGGGTGCAGAATCAGACCTTTTCCCTATTACGTTCTCAGTTTTAGATTCCCGACACATAGGGTATAAATTTGGATATTCCATCTGCACATGATATGAGCTTGGGGCTTTAATTTCTTATGATTGGTGTTTTTTACATCCAGATCCCTAAGCAAAGATAAATTTTCTTGTTCCTTCTCGCGCCATAAGAGGAGTCTGTTTATTGCTTCTGACACAGATGGGCTGGCCCTTCCCAGGTGGTGGTTAAATTGGGTCTCAGTTCTCATCTATATCCCCTCGTTCCACAAGGTGTTATAATCCCAGACACTGACTAAACAGTTCTACATAGGAGTGTCTTCCTTCTCTTCTCCTCTGGACTGTGACCTCCCTCTTGCTTCTCATTAGAAGTTCCCATTTGTTAAAAAGTGTTCTCTCTTTCTATATATATGTATGCACATATATATATATGTATACACACACATATATATGCATATATATGTACATATATATTTAAAAATTTAAATTTACCTAGCATTTCTGAATGTTTGTAGCAGGAATAAAATCCATTTGAATTCAATTAGTTATACTGCTGAAACCATAAGTACCAGAGTAGTCTTCAAAATGTAAATTACCACACATGGTTCTATTATTTAAAATTGCAAAAGAGTTTCTCATTGCACTTAGTATCAAATCAAATCTATATCTCATGTTTTATATAATATTTTTTAAATCAGTTTTTCCTATTTCTCCAGTCTCATTTTATGGAACACTTCTTCTAACTTGCTGGCTATACTGTCCACACAGGCTTATTTTCTTCTCTTGCACATGCCAAGTTCCCTTCCTAAATCTTTCCCCACAGGGTCCTTTCTACCCTTCCATGGCTCCTGACCAGCACATTCTCTATTATGTCAACATGTTTATTTCCTTCATTGTCTTTGACACCGTCTGTAATTATCTTGTTCATTTATGTGTTCTATTTTCCACCTACCTCCTCCAAATAGAGTGTATACTCCAGAAGGAAAGCAATTTTGTCTTGGTTAATTGCTCAGCCCTCAGCATCTAGCACAGTGCCTGACACAAAGTAGGTAGTTAATAAATATGTGTTCAGTGAAGGAAGGTAGAAGTCACATTCAAAATCTCGTTCAACTGCTTTTATAAAGTAGGTGGGAAAGTAGCTGAGAAAGATCTTAAGAACTTGCTCATGACATAATATTAAAAACAAGTATTCAGGCCTCCTGACTCTGTTGCCCTATATTCTTTCTGATGACCACCCCACTAGTTATAAAGGGGCTATTTCAGGGATTTAGAAGAGTGATGAATAGAGTATAGGTGATCAGTGACCTCCCTCCCACATATATGATGAATTTTGTGAGAAACATGTATATATTAATTTTTCAGGAGAGGAAGACTATATATAAGTTTCAGTCAATTCTCAAAAGACTCAAAAGGTAAGGAAAGATCCTGATCTACTGACACGCATCTTTTTTTTTTATATGAACTATTAAATTCCTTGCATGCTTTGTCTTCATATGATTTTTTTATATAATGGAGAATGGAATGATTACTATGAACTAAATATCCACCAAATTGTCAACAGATCTAGTTCTATGACTTGTATAAAAATGTTAACAGCTATAGGAAAAAGGTTCAGCTTTTTCAGAGTTGTGGGATTCCTTGGCACATGATAGTAGGGGTACTCTGTCTATTTGTCAAGACTGGCAATATGAATGCTCACACACTGACTAGAGTTGCATAGACCTCAACAATTTTCTTTAGTCATATTTCTGTTGTCCTGTTCTCCTAAAATATTGTGATGGATATGAGGTCTCTTTTGCAATAAGCTTTTATTTCAGAGAGCTGATACTGAGGTATACTAATCAGCTTTTTCAGCAGTGGGTCTATGGATTTTTAATATCCACATAGCTAATCTATACTTAGTTTCTCAGGACTATTTGGCTTCTAGTAAACTGGCTGTGTGAATAAAATGACCTGGGTGGTGGGGAGAAGGAATGCTACTGTATTTCTGTGGGCATTTGGTGGTTATTATTCCTAGGCCATTCACCCGCCACCTCCCCTGAGGAAATGCTCTGTTGTCATTGATAGCTGGACTGGAGTGGTGAATGCTGGGGTCACCACATATTTTACATTAGAAATTGGGTTTTGTGATTCAGAGAAAGCCAATTAAATCTTTGGTATAGAATTTGCAGGGAAATGTATTTTTTCATGTACATGGGAAAACAGAAAGTCTGTCTGAAGAACAGGAGGAGGAGGAGGGGGAGGAAGAGAGGTAGTTCATGGAGAAAGAGAAGGAAGGTGAAGATTTAGGTAAGTTAAAAAAAAAAGTTATTTTGACCCTCCCTGGTGGCGCAGCAGGTTAGGACACAGCACTGCAAACCAGCCGCAGCAGCTTCAGTGTGAGTTCAATTATCGGCCCTGGAGGTGATCTACATGGTGCAGCAGACTTCTCCTGACCTGCCCGCTGCTCCCCTCAGCAGTGTACTTCATGAATCTGTCTGTTCTGCTCCTTACTGTCTCTGGTGAAGCCTCTCACTGCCCCTGCACCTCTGGCTTGTACCCCAGTTCTGTATGAATAAATAAATCTTAAAAAAAAAAAAACAACTATTTATTTGATCTCTGACAACTTTACTTTTTTTTTTTTTTTTTCCAGAGTTGATTTCTTTACAACCAAAGCTTAAAAGGGCCCTCCCTGGTGGCACAATGGGTTAAAGCACAGAACTATGAAGCTATTACAACCACTGCAGCATGAGTTCGATCCCCAGCCATGGGGGTAACCTACATGATATGGCAGACTTCTCCCTACCCACCTGTTGCTCCCCTCAGCAATGTATTCCAGCCAATCTGCCTGTTCTGCTCCCCACTCTGTCTCTGTCTCTGGTGAATCCTCTTAACCCCTGCACATCTAGCTTGTACCTCCATTCTGTATATATAAATAAATCTTTTTAAAATTATGAATAATTAATACATATTATTGGTGAAAATGTTTTTAGTTTATTTCCTTTGTGTACCTAGAGGCATAATGTCTCTCGATGTTGGAATCAAATCAGTTTTACATGTTGATTTTTATCACTTCCTACCTAAGTGCAGTAATTTGGATGCATGTACCTGTTGTTAGTCTGTAATTCAAATTCAACTGGGCATATGTATTTTTTTTATCTTTGAATCTTATATGTTACAAAGTTTTTCTCTTGTAAAGTGGAGGTAGTAATATGAAATCAACAAAGGTGTTAAAAATGTCATATTCTTAATATTGTGTGAAATACCTCATTAGAAGTAGTTCATTCTCTTTCCTCTTTCCTTTTACTTACAGCCTATCTTTAACACAAGAAGGTTTTGCTCACAAAGTTTATCATTATAAGAACACTAATTATGAGTGAATTCTTTGTGCTGAAATTTTATTGTGTTAAACTAATGCCTAGAGAAATTACTTAATTGACGGTAAGTTTTATAAAGCAGTGGGCTGATTCATTTGGAAATTTGGGGAAATACTTTATATTTTTATGCGATGATGTATTTGTGAATTAGAGAATCTAGAAGGTTATACATTTCAATGTAAGAGTCATCATCCAGGTACCCCATCCCACTATATTCTTGTGCCAGGATTGACCAGACATCAATCTTAATTTTCAGAAATTAGTTTCCTGTTCAAAGCAGCATCTCCATACCTCGTCTTTCTTATCTTCTGTGGAAAGACATGAAGAAAGAGAAAGTATGATAAAAGAAAAGAAGAAGATACACATTTACCAGTTGCCTGTTTGAGGATAAATAATGAGAGGTTGTAGATGTCTGGACTCTGTTTCTTGTTTCTGGTGTCCACATTCTTTCCACTTATAATTTTATTACCTTTATTCTCTGACTAGAGGAACTCGAGCAAGTAGTGAGGGACCTCTTTACCATGGCTTCTAGGTGTTAAGGTACACAAAGAAATATAAACTTGCCTAACAGGGCATTTGTCATATGTTTCTTTATTTAACACATCAAATCCAGTGGGGTTGGATCAGACTTCTGTCTCTCCTCTAACAGTGTGGTTTGCTGGTCAATCACTAATCTTGGGAATGAAAATGTCATGTCTCCATTTTTATTTTCTTAATTTGAAGTCACCATCTCTGAAAGTGCCTTATAAGTAGCAAACTAGAAGCGTATAAGACTATCAACAGGTCTAGTCTAAATGTGTGGGAGCTGTCTCTGTGGTTCCTTCATGTTTTCATTTTCTGTTTCATTCTCATTTTCACATATTTCTGTCTGGGATGGCAGTATAACATTCTGAATCAATTGGTCTTGGTTGGTTGAAAACTGGGAAGTGTTGGATTCCAAAGACACTGATTTCACTGATTGTGTTGTACTGCCACTTGGCTCAGTTGTGGGAGGATTTGTGTCTACAAGTGTCTCTGTCGGTGGCACGATAGTTATAAATTCATATGAATTTTGAGGCGGGGTAGACTCCTTTTTGTAACAACAAGTATTGAAAGGTATAGCACAAAACACCAGATCCGAGGACAACAGCTTAAACTCATTGTCTGGCCGGGTAATCACAAACCTGTAAAAAAATTCAAAGATGAGTTCTGAGTTTCTGTGACTGCAACAGAGTGGCCACAGGAAATGGCCAAATTAAGGGGGGAAAGGATGTTTTTGTTTCTGCTTTGCTCCATTGGTTTCTTGTTGTCAATAGGAGAGGTTCTCAAGGAACTGGGGACTGATTTTCATTTTCATTCCTGCATCTGAACCTTTGAAACCTACCATCTTTGGCCTCAGGCACAGCATCTTCTCTAAACTTGCTTTCTTTTTTTTTTTTCTTTTTTTTAAAGATTTGTTTATTTATACATATAGAAATGGGGGTACAGGCCAAATGTGTGGGGTAGGGGAGCTGGTGAGAGGATCCACCAGAGACAAAGTGGGGAGCAGAACAGGCAAGTCTACTTAAATACACTTCTGAGTGGTGCAGCAGACAGGTCAGGAGAGGTCTGCTGTACCATGTGGGTCACCTCCCTGGCTAGGAAATGATCTCTGCTGCTGTGACTGCGTATAGCTTCATAGTGCTGTGCTTTAACCTGTTGAGCCACCAGAGGAGGCCTAAACTTGCTTTTCTCATTTTAATGGGGGGAGGGGTAGGATATGGTTTGTAATGAATGATCTCTAATGGCCTTTCTGACCCCAGGTCTCTCTGATTTTAATAACCACTGTACTAGTGATTTAGTTGGTACAATGGTAAGCACTTAGTCAACTTTATCAAACCAGATTACTTGCACTCCCATTATTTTCATTCTGGTGTAGGCTGCCCTTATACTTAAGCCACCGAATTTCACACAGAAAACAATGTGACTAATGAAGAAAAATAGAGTTTTGTTTGAGACATTGGCTGGTAAATAAAAAGTGAATGTTAGTGAATTTTAATGACCACCCAGAGCTTGGCCCTTATGTAAAGACTGTGGGGAGCAGAATGCCTTAACACAGTATCAGGCACATAGTAGATCCCCAATAAATGTGAATACAGTTAATGGCTACACTGGTGAACATGTCATACTATTGATGCAGAATAACCTTTCATGACTTTTATCCTGCATTTCTACATTGTTGCCCCAAATGATCACCTTTTCTTTCCTAAACAGCCATCTCTATGCATCATGCATCATTCTTTCCCTGAATAATCTCACAAATTTTATCTTTCCACCCAGTCTCCTGTATGTTCTAGCATTTTCCAAACAAGATCTACTTAATCACATACTTCATGTAAAAGAGAAAATTCATTTCCTCCCCTAAGGTTCTCTCAAGTATGGGCTGTACATTCTCCCAATTGCCATATGCCTCAGATTTTCCTGAGTTGTTGGAGGACGGAGATGGCAGTCAGGGGAAGAGAGAGAGAAACTTATGATTCTCCATGATGATTCAGAACATCACTCCTCTCCTGCTGTCCATCCTGTTGCTCTACAGCCATTACCAATTTCATTATTGACTCATCCACTTCATCTCCAGACCTCTACTTTCACTGAGACCCGTGTCACTTGAGACACTTTCTCTTTCAAACTACAGTGCCACCATCATCTTGCATGTTTGCAATTACCCTGTGGTTATAATTCCAACATCCAGGTACATTTCTTTCATTTCTACCACTCATATTTTTTTTTTTATCTCTAAATCACTTCATGGCCCCACACTGGACGCTATGATTTCCTCACATGGGCCACTTATGCTTTAATCAATTCCTTCTTGGTTAATTTCTTTCTATCTGTCTCATTTCCATACTCCTTTTCATCAAGACTTCTAGTTGTCTTTTCACTTTAGAGACTAGTATTGCTTCTATAAATCTATAACAAATCTACAATAAATAAAAATAAAATTTTACATCTTTCTTGATTCCCTGTAATACTTATTCCATTTTTTCAATCAGTAATGGCTGCCTAGTCTTCACTGAGAAACCTTGATATTTGATAAAAGTTTCCCAACTTCACCTACAGCTAAATTTCTCTTCACATCCATTCACTTTTTCCTTTTCTCCTGCAAGCAGAGATCAATCATTCAATTTACGATTACTTCACTTTGACTAATTTGGTTTCCTTCCCTTTCTTCTTGAACAGATTCCATCAATGTATTTCTACTCATTTGTTTTTAATTTCTCCTCCACTATTGAATTTTATCAACTCCCATTATGAGAATATTAATTTGGATCTATATTGACTTTACTCTCTCGAGACTGCACCCTCTCTATTCTCCTCCCGTCCTCCATGCAGTTTCTCTGTCTTCTCTACTGTGTCAGGTTCATCTTTCTTTAAATTGAAACCTGAACATATCACTCATAATTCATGGGTACAAAATGCAGAGGCTAGGAACAAGGCACTCAATAAATGTTTTCTGAATGAGTTTAGCATAAAACAGGGTTTTCCATATGGACAATGACTTTTTTTAGCTCTAAAAAGGTACCCATACATTCAATTTTCTGTGGGAAAAGTTGCCATTATTATTCCATGGCTGATATCAATTAGATTCTAATCATAAGGGTTCATTCATGTTGTTATACCCATTATCCCTATTCCTGCACTGTGATCTACTTCCATACCCGTCTTAGCAACCATGGACTTAGGGCTCTGGAATTTTATTTCACATTTAAATAAGTAGCTTTGGCTCTTATTCTTGCATAGGAGGCCAGCACCATCCAGAGCAGCATACTTCCCTTTTGTGTTCTGGATTTTTCTCCTCTTTATCCATCATGCGGTAGAGGCCAATGCACAAGATTCCAAAGTTATCTAACGAGCCACAGAACAATTCCCCAAATGTTATTCTTGGCTGAAGAGAGAAGAGAAAAGCATAAAGTGATAGCACTTTAACCATGCAATAACAGGTATGTATTAGAATATCATTTGTCTTTCCCTGTAATAGAAGTTTGGAAGACCTGAAGCCATTTCCTACTATCTTTATGGTAGTAGCATCAGTGGCTTGGAGAATGGGTTTGTGATTGTTTTTCTTCATCTAATCCCAATGTTTTTGCCTTTGATCACAAGCTTTAATGTTTTGTTAAACCAGTGATTGTTTTTGTCACTCTGGCCTTTCAAAAGCCTCCAGTGGATGCAGTAGGGGACATGTTGTTATACTTGTTTTTATTGCTATTGTGGTTTTGGTAACCACTAGAAATCAACAGTAAACAATAGGCTGAAAAACTGTTTTCAAGACACATAAAGAGTTCTATGTAAAGTGACCTCCAGAGAGTGATTGTTTTTTTATCCCATTCCACAACAGAAGTTGCCCCAAGCACTTCTCTTGACCTTGCTCTTGGACTAGAACCAACTTAGGCTCTACAAAATAAACAACAGGGTCAAAAGCAACACAAGTGGGGACGGTGAGGTCAACACAGAACAATTTAATCAGTTCTCTGATTCTTCAGGATTAAGAACAAAACAAGAAGACAAAACAGGAGAAAGGAAGGAAGGCTGACTGGTCTGCTATTAACTCTGATGACACCAGGCTATTTCCAGTAGCAGATTTCTTGGGCTTATAGTCAATTATCAGTCAACCTCATGTGAAGAATCTAGGATGACAGAACTGGGGAAAGGCAGATGCAAAGAGCTTGGGGCACAGCATTCATAAAGAGATTACTCCTTTCTAGGCTCGCCTCTACTCTGGAACCCAAATCCCAGAACTGCAAGATAAAAGCTGGTGTTAATTCGTGCAATGGCTTAAAAAACACAAGCATTTTCCACTGGTTATGTCCAATCAGAATTTCCGGCCCAAAATAGTATCTTCCTGCCAGACTTCAGGTGATCCGGTCATATTTTTCAGTAGTTCAGGCGCAGGAAGTGTGGGTAGACTGCCTTGGAAGGATTCTACTTTGCCTTTGGCACATGGTGTGATCTCAAAAAGGACTTGTTTCTCTGGGCCTCAACTTCATGAGCTGTTCAATGTAGTTAATAATGACATAAATCTTTGGACAGATTAAGTGGAAAAACCAAAGTAGAGATGAGCAGGAGAAATGCTCAGCATACATTAGTTGTTCCAATTACTACTCATAACCCTATCAAGGCACAAAGTTGTTGGTCCTCTCTGACGCTTCTATAAACCTGGATTTTATTATCTGGAAGGTGGGGATAGCAGCAACTTCTTTTGTCTACTTCTCAAACTTGTGATAAATAAATGGTGACAATGCACTCTAAGTTGTAAAACACACTAGAAGGTGGTATTAATTTGTTATCATTTCCTTGCTTCAGGCTGCTAGCAACCCAAATAGCCTGGATTTTTCTCAGAAATTCAGAAAGGTAAGGAAGGAGGGTGGACGCTGCGATGCGACAGGGACGCTCACCTGAATGTCGGACAAGATGGTTTGGTGTAAGGGCAGGAGCCCCAGCTTGCACCGCATTCTCCCAGACAGCAGTGTGGTGCTGCTGCTTTTATCCAAGTGTTGTTCTAGATGAGAGCTTATCCCTCCTGTCACCAGCATCTGAAGAAATTCCAGGACGTGGTAATTGTGGAAGGCCTGAAAAGCAAAGACAAGTCACATGCAAGGTCAGAAGAGCTGGTATGTGCACCGTAGAGACTGAGGGCCTCTGTGGACAGCGCTGTTTGAAATGGGTCTGATGGTAGAGAGCAGTGTCTTTCAACAACACTATCAAATTAATCTGGCAATTTGGGCAGGGTGTTGAGTTATGCAAAGTACAGAGAAAGCAACACCACCCACATCCCTTCTCCCCAGGGCCTTACAATGCAGCAGTAGTAGAAAGCAGGTAATGACACTGATACCAGGATTATCCCCTTTTCCCAAGCAACCAGAGTGTGTCAGGTCACAGATACCCTAGCCATCATTAACGGGTATCTAAAACATGTATTTAAACAGCTTTTTCCTTAGAGGATGACGGATAGTGATTGTGATCACCATCCATACTTGTGTCTTCTGTGTATGTACTACTAGTGCCTGTGATGGCGACCTCTGTCCTCAGTTATTGACTGAGGTCTCATTAATATTCAGATCTCCCATAACGTTGATCTTGTACTGCAGGGGTTGAATAAATGGATGGAATTTTTGAATCACTGGCATAAAAATGAGGCCAGAGGACAATGAGTGGGCCAATTTCCTGGTCTGAAACTGACTGGAGTGTGCGTAAATCCAGCCACTCAACTCCTTTCCCAAAGATTCCTAGCACACGCTGTGTAGACTAAGAATTAACATGCTTGTGACTAGCACTGTCATGTATTAACATTAGGTTTTCTCAAGTCTCTTAAAAATACAATGGTCTACATATACTGCCTTTCTTACTAATTTAGACTCCATGGAATAAAAGTATAATTTAGGTAAGAAACAATTTTCTTAGGTAGAAATGAGAATATATGTTTATGCATTATTGATATAAAATCAGTCAGTTTGTTTTTGTTATAAATAATAGCAGTGACTTGAGTTGATTTAGAAATCTTGCCTTTTACTTCCGCTAGTCCCACACTCAGGGAATCTTCTTTTGAAACCTGGATGATGATAAAGAACCCTTCTCTGGTCTCCCTGTCCTGTTTTAGTTCTCATTTGCCATGCATTTCTCACCATGCTTCCAGACTGATGCTCTAGAATCACAAATGGGGTTCCCCCATCCACCTTCTGGCCAGTCAGTGCCACCCCACTATGCTCTGGGCACGCAAAGCACTCCGGGCTTTGCGCAGCTCCCTTTCCAAGCTCAACCCTCCTCGGATGGGGCTTCTAGTGTACACCCACCTGCAGCTGTCCAACTTTCCTTGTCCTCCCTTCATGCCTTGCACATTTGCTTCGTCTGTCCCCAACTTGATGAACTCCATGTCGGCCTTCTCATCAGAATGAGTGTCCCTTTCTTTGGGATCCATGGCCACTGACATTTACTCTTACTTCATTTTTCTGTATTTTATAATTGATTGTATGTCTTCAATCCACCTGAGTTTGAATTTTGAACTAACATCTCCTAGCTGAATACCTCTGGACAGTTCATGTGTTCTTTGCAACGGTTTTACAATCTTTAAAACTGATATACTACAACCCAACTTTGAGCCCTGTTTGCAGGATTAAGCAAGATACACAGCACATGGTATGAAATGCTGTTCTCTCCAATGCTAGGTCTCAAGGGTCTGGATCACCTGGAGTGATTATCACAGGTACAGATTTCTGGGATCTCAAATCTACTGGATTAGAATTATGGGGAGGAGTGGCACTGAGAAGTGAAAGGACACTTCTGGTGTCTTCTTCACAATCTCAAGCATTACTTAATAAAGATATCAACATGCTAAATACTCGCTACATTTTATTCTGAGAATCTCAAAAGATCTTAAGAGCAAACATCATTTATAAATACTTCTAATTGAGAATGAGGCTGTATGATAGGTGAAGTACACATGACCAGCTGAGGAGCCTTGAGAAAGTCATAATCATTCTCCAGCCTCCTGTTCCTTATAAGTAAAGAAAAATGCTCTTTGAGCTCATGTCCAGTTCAGAAGCTCTATTGCTGTAGTGTCACATGGAGATCCCGTGTGTGGGCCTGAGGGCCTCTTCATATTTCATTTTTATGGCAATGAACTGACAGAGGATTAAAATTGAATCTCATTTATACTTTATAGACATGTTTCTCCAACTGAGGCAGCAGTTGACAGGAATATGCCAGAGGATACTTGAAGCTGGTGTCAACTGTGTCAGGAGATATGAAGGGAAAGCCCATTATTCAATTTTGGAAAAAAAAAAAAACCCCACAAAAACCCACAGGTATATTCTATTCCACAGGGAAGAGAATGAAAAAAAAAATAATTGCATGAGAATCAAAAACAAAACATTAGTAGTTCTAAGCAATGACAAGTTGAGTGGACGTTATCTGGGCTCAGTCTATCCCTGGGATCTGCATACTCATTATCCTTTGTGTTTCTTGTGAGAGACTTGGAGTAAATGGTAGAAAGGAGCGCCCCTGAGACAGAAAGGGGCCTTTAAATATGGGTGAGGTCAGAAACATGGATTCCTAAGACTGGGAGTCAAGATTTCTTGTTTCAGAAACTGCCAGAGTCTGTTCTGAATGCATCTGTTTCTGGTCTTCCCCTTCTGTGTAGGTGGGCATGTGTGGAAACAAAACTTGGATTCAGATGATAACCCCTGACTGTGCAGCTATAGGAAACCGCTCTTCCTGCATTAATCTGGGCAGCAGATTGGAAAAGCCAAGCCTGGAAGAAGTTCTTCGGGAAGTAAAGATGGGGCACATGGGACACCAAGAGGGAGAGGAATGGCTACTTCAGGTGTCTCCTCTCAGAGTCTTGTCAGGAAACTGGAAATCTGGCTTGGAATAGAGAACAGGACTTGAGTTCTTTTATTTGATGCCTCTCTGTTGACCTAACTTCTAGGGATGGTTTCCAAGGTCATCTTAATGAGAGAAATCTGTCTTTCCATTAACTCTTATACAAGAACTAGTGTCCTTCTCACTGGGGGAAGGGTGTAGATAGTCATGATAGGGCAGATGTGTCCCGGTCTCCCCTTCCTGCCTGTCTTCTCAGCAATTCATGAGCTTGTCACTTATGTCACCTTCTTGGTGCTGCCTTCCTTGGCCAGGTAATTAAAACTTGTGACCCATCTCCCAACCCCTTCATTTCCATCTCATATCTTCTTGGCCCTTGTATTTATGGATCTGCTTTATGTTTCATGTCTGTGTCAGGCCCCTTTAGTCTTCTTCATGAACTGTGGGTTTGGACTATGTTTGTTCTCAGCACCTAGAGTAGCGCCCTCCACAAAGTAGATGGCCAATAGTGATCATATAGTGAATTTGTCCCACCTACGGAAACCCTGCAATAGATGGAGGATCCACTCAGCAGCCGCAGAGACACCAACAACCAAAGAACCACCAGGTGTCAGATATGCAGCCAGCGTGGGGAGTTCAACACAGAGGAAGACTGCACTTGGCTCAGAACAAAACTCACCCTACCAAAGGTCAAAGCTTTGTCCTCCAGCACCCTCCCTTAATGGCTGATTTTACCTGAGATGTGGGGTATTTTGGAGAGAAGAAAAAATCAGTACCTTTTAAACTTGAACAGCAAAAAAACTGGTCTATCCAGGTTCACTCGAAACGGAGATGGACTCTCTGATACTTACATTCTCATTCCTCCCCTTATCAAATGATCCAGATCTAAAGGCCTCAGATTTCTAATCTTGAAAGTATGAAAATCTTGCATCCTTCACCATGTAGTTGTGAGAAAAGGTGAAATACGGTGTGTGAACAAGTATTTTGGGCATATCAAAGAAAAGTTACAATTGTGAAATAATGTAATCATTGATCCAAACCTTATGCCCCTCTGTAAAGGGCTTAGTCTGGGGGGTTCCCCTGCTTAGCTGCACTTACTGTTGCCAGAAGGGAATCCAAGAAGTTGCCAGAAAAGACAGAGCCTTGGGAAAAGGAAGTACTGAGATGCAGGCTTGTCCCAGTGAAGGTTCCTTCTGCTCCACCAAGTTGCTCAATAAAGTGGATGTTGGAAGGATTTTCTGCAAGGCAAAAGACAGGAAAAGGAGAGATGGGGGCCCTCCCTGGTGGCGCAGCGGGTTAAAGCACTGCATTAAGAATTTAAAGCCACTTCCGCATGAGTTCGATTCCCGCCTGCCCCGGAGGTGACCACATGGCGCGGCAGACCTCTCCTGACCCGCCCGCTGCTCCCCTCAGCAGTGTACTTAGTCAATCTGCCTGTTCTGCTCCCCACTCTGTCTCTGGCGAAGCCTCTCACCCTCCGCATCTCTGGCCTGTACCCCAGTTCTGTATGAATAAATAATTAATTTTTTAAAAAAAAAAAAAGGAGAGATGGGAAGGCAGGCTTAAGGATAGTGGAACAGCCAGATGAGGCAGGCAAGGAGAGACTCACTGCGCAAAGGATTTAATGCCTACTTTGGGGTCAGTGAGGGATCTACTCCCTGCTTCTCTACATTTTTTTTTCCCAAGTATCTTCCCCCCCAAAGACTTGTACCATGGGGGGCACTGTCATCATCAAAGGGATATACGTGGCTCTCACACTTAAGTTACTGTAGGGATATGTCTTAATTGTCACCTTTACAGAATTTATTTTTCAAACCAGGACACTTTTAGAAGTAAAGGGGCATTCTTAATAATTTTACTGACAGGCTAGACATAAATAGGAATGTGGGACCATCCCACTTGTAGTCTTTTTTTCATAACACTACACCATAAATGACTTGGTATTTACTTGGGTTCCTAGGAATGTGGGCCCTCAATGAATTAAAGCAGCAGCTCTCAAAATTCACTGTGCATCTCTGGCCTGTACCCCAGTTCTGTATGAATAAATAAATAAATCTTTAAAAAAAAATTCACTGTGCAAATGAATCATTGGAGGGTCTTGCTATACTACTGATACTACCGACTCCCTGGGTCTAGAAGAGATCTGAGACTGATGCCCACAGAAGCTTCCAGGTGATACTGATGTCCCTGGAGCCCCCTACAGCTCAGCACCTTGTGGCAACCTCGGAGGTAATGCATATCGTCACTACTGGAAAGCAAGGAAAGGCACTGACTGTCCTGATTCCACAACTATTGCTTCAAGAATGTTTGCGTAGAGAATATTTTTGTTTGCAAGTGGTATAAGGTCTTAGACCCTTCACAGTTTGACAGTCATATAACAGAGCAAATCAAATCTACTGGATATATGGCTCAGAATTCATTTCTGGATTAGTCTATAATTCTTTTGACTATTCCACTGTAAGTTTGGGGAAAGTGACACATTGGTGACTTTAGTGAATCATGTCCTTCCAAAAATGACACATTTTTATAAAAGATGAGAAGGCATAGCTAATATCAGTCCTCATTTCTCACATACGCATACATCCATCTCCCTTGAGCGGCCATACACACCCATCCTAGGAGCAGTTGCCTAAGTCTCACTTGCCATGCTAAGCAGGTGGCCTGGGCTTTCCCAGCCATTTGCCCATTGGCCACTGTGCATTCTGCTTTAAAATCAGACCTGCAGCTTTTGAGTCTTCGCAACCCTCTCCAGTTTGCCAAAGAATAAAAAGCTGAGTGAGCTGGGAGGTGATTTGTTAGGCTAATTTGACAAGGGCTACCTGGTCCCAGAAAGTCTTTAGTGGAACAAGGCTGGAAGTCCCTGGGGAGTGACCAGATGCACTCTCACCCGTGAGATACTGAATGACCCCTCTGAACACTCAATTTACATCGCCATCTTAATGAACACCATGTATAGACACCTCTCAGTTGGAAGGGCTCAAAGGGGAGGAAAACAGAAATAATGTTTAAATTAAAAACTCTCAAAATTTATTGTGCCTATAAATCACCCAGGGATCTTGTTACACAGATTCTGATTCCCTGGATCAAGGTGGGACCAAGATGTCCACATGTCCAAAAAGTCCTCAGACGCTGCTGAGTTATGGGCTACACAGGGAGCAGCAGAGATTCAGAGGGTCATCTTACTGAGACCAGAGTGGCAGCAGCCAAATCATCTGCATACCTGCATGGGCCCAGGACTCACTCCCCTGAAAGCAGCCTGAGAGGTAACTCAAGCTGGCTATAGATTAGCTGGCAGGAAGCAGTCAGGATCAAGGACTCTGAGACCTTCAAAGGTGGATTTGAAGAGTTTCTTCGCTAGGATCCAGGCTGATCAGAGTTATTTCCTCCTCCTCTGCTGTCACCCCCAGATCACCCACTGGTGTCCCTTGCTGATTCTGCTCTTTGACTTCTTGCTTATAGGACTAAGAGGCCAGTTCACCTAGTTTGGTATAAGTCACACTCAGCTTTGAAATTTTGCTCCTAAGGAACTTAGTCAAGCCACACATGGGTGGTCATGTCTGAGTTGGTCCAGTCTATGTTACGACGCTGTCTCCTTCTTGGGTACCTCCCTCTTTCCTCACTAGGCATTATTGGTATTAAATCCCAGTATATCCCCCAACACCTCATAAGCATACCTGCAAGTACACAGAGGCACCTGGCCTGCATGTCCTACCTTTCTTCCTGCCTCACACTTAGGAAATGTTCATACATGTGCATTTTTTTTTTCTTAAGGTGCTGGTGAAAGAGAACAACTCATTCTGTTTTTCTGGGGAGGAGAATTTCCATTTAGAAGGGTACTACAGAGCCAGGTTTAAGGGGCCAACCTTGGGCATACAATGAGAGAGCACCTCTTTAGAGTTCCCACTGAATGGGGTTTCACTTGCTTCTGCCTGGCATCTCCACAGGAGAGGAAAGTGCCAGCACAAAGATGAGTTGAGATCCTTGCTAGTACTCCAAGCCTACAACCCCACCTAGGGGATCCCCTCTGAACAAGAGAGCAGCTGCAGGTCTTCCTTCTCTGGTAACCTGAGTGTGAAGGCAGATGGTATTCCTACACCCCATGTTGGATATATTAGGCTCTGCCGAATGATGTCACCAGTTGTGAGAAAGCCTGATGTGAACACCTGTCAAGTACTTAATGCTCCCCAGGCTCCATTCTGGCTCCTTGCTTCTCTGACTGTGGATTCTAAAGCGAACTTTGGGGCATCGGCTATAGATCATAAAGGTTTCTCCCTTCGCTTTTGTCTTTAAAACACATCTTACTCAGTTCAGTGATGATGGGGATTCTCCGGTCTTTTAATTTGTCATTCTGTGGGCTGAAGGAGTGTGAAAACCCCTCTGTGGGTAGAAAAACAAAGAAGAAAAGAGTTTGACAAATACAAACTAAGTAGCTTGCAAAACTTGACAGAGATGTAGAAACACGTCTTGTTACTTGGCTCTTCATCTTAGCAAAGTTATTCTCTCATACCCAAATTCCTAAGCTCTATTTATGTCCAGAAAAAGAAATTATTTTGGGCTGTGTGTGTGTGTGTGTGTGTGTGTAAATAGTACTTCATATGAATTACAAAAACAAACCTCTTCAATTCCAAATGTTGTATTGCTTATCAACATCCTAAGTAACTGTTACCCTCTGTAGAGTTGTGGTGCTAGATAGTGATTCAGGCAGAGAGTGTACTGGTATACCTTCATATACCAGTAGAACTCTTAGGGAATTAAATAAATATGGGGTGCTATTCAAAGAGCCCTGGTGAAGACAGTGAAGTTGGCTCCTGGGGATGCCTGTGTTTCTCAGATGCTCCTAGTCCTGTCCCCTTGCTGGCCCTGGTCTCTGGGGGGCCCGTCTCAACCCAGAATGCCGAGGGAGTTTTTCAAAGACCAGGAGAGAAGGTAAAGAAGTGTCTATCACCTTAATGTTAGGTTGAGGCAGATTTCCCTCCTGACTTAGGAGATCAGACATTTCATTTACCTCTGTGATAATCAACTCACAGCACTGGCTTGAAACACAGTTTTATAATATGGCAAACTATACAGTGTGTTAACAACAAGCATGACACCAGAGTTTCAGTCCCCAACTTAAAGAATGCAAAAAAGAAAAGAGAGTAGTGGGAAGCTATGGTCCTGTTTTCTCTCTCTCTCTCTCTCTCTCTCACACACACACACACACACACACACACACACACACACACACACTGAGTGATTTTATTGGAAGTTATGCTTTTAAAACTGTTGATTACCTTTCTGGAACTTTTCTGAAATGTTATATGATGGCAGAGAATAGTGAGAAAATTAGAATTCTACTGGGCCTTCCTGGTGGTGCAAATGGTTAAGTCTCAGCACTATGAAGCTATCAGCAGCGACTTCAGCATGATTTCGATCCTTGGCCATGGAGCCATGGAGGTGATCCACATGGTGCAGCAGACCTCTCGTCTCAACCACTGCGCCTCTCAGTAGTGTATTTCAATTGATCTGCTGTCTGCAGACCACTCTGTCTCTGGTGAATCCTCTCGTGCCCGTACCTCATACCTACCTCAGCTCTTGCATGCATGCATAAATAAAATAAATCTTAAAAATAAATAAATAAAAATAAAATTCTACTGGCAATTAAAATGTCCTGCTTCCTTGGAAGAGGGTGAATTATCTATGTGCTGAGCCAGGTAAGTCTTAGGGGAAGGGAGGATAGGATTTGGAGTAAATGGAGACGAGAGGGGTGGAGAAGAATGGCTGAGAAAGAGACACAGGAGGGCTATGGTGAACCTGCCTGAAATAGGGTTAGGGAGAAATCTAAAGTTAAAGTAAGATCTTTTTTTTTTTTTAAAGATTTATTTATTTATTCATATAGAACTGGGGTACAGGCCAGAGATGCGGAGGGTGAGAGGAGTCACCAGAGACAGAGTGGGGAGCAGAACAGGCAGATCGACAAAGTACACTTCTGGGGGGAGCAGTGGGCGGGTCAGGAGAGGTCTGCCACGCCATGTGGACTCCTCCGGGGCAGGCAGGAATCGAACTCATTGAGGAAGTGGCTTAAGCTTCTCAGTGCAGTGCTTTAACCCGCTGTGCCACCAGGGAGGGCCGTAAGATCTTTTTTTAACAGGAATGTTATGTACTGTGATATTGAACATCTTTCCATCTTCCAATAAATACTCAGTAAAAGAGCCACTTCTTGTAAATGCAAAGTAGAACTGAATATATTTCTTATAACCACTAAAATTCTGAATCCAGCTTCATGATGAAAATTTCAAGCTTTCCCAAACATGTGAGCCACATGTTTAGTTTATAGTTAGAACTGGCAGTTAGAACCTTAGGAACTTAGTAAAATCCTTTACTTCAGGTGAAGAAATGGAAGTCAGAAAGTTAATCTTGTACAGACAGCTACTTAGAAGGAAGACATATCCATGGCTAGAGAGCAGATACCCTAACTGACTTGCAAAATTTATTCGTAATGGTCTCTGAATACCTTATACTACTTTACACATATAAGCTTTATAAACTTATTATTTTTTAAAGTTATTATTTATTCTTATTTATAAATTTTCAGGTTTCCAGAATACAGGAAGACTTGAAGGAACTAAGAATATACCTCCCAGAACTGAACAAATTTCAATATATTTTCATAGTGATAGGTACTGTTAAAAAAAGAAAAGAGGCCCTCCCTGGTGGCGCAGCGGGTTAAAGCACAGCACTGAAAAGCCAAAGCCACTTCCACATGAGTTCGATTCCCGCCTGTCCCGGAGGTGACCACATGGTGTGGCAGACCTCTCCTGACCCGCCCTCTGCTCCCCTCAGCAGTGTACTTCATCGATCTGCCTGTTCTGCTCCCCACTCTGTCTCTGGTGAAGCTTCTCACCGCCCCTGAGCCTCTGGTCTGTACCCCAGTTCTGTATGCACAAATAAATCTTAAAAAAAAGAAAAGAAAAGAAAAACAACAGCAACAACAAAAAATCCACCAGACTTTAAGTTTATTGAGGTAGGGAGGTGACTCTAGATAGGATTTGAAGAACAGGGTAAGAACAAGCTGGCCAGGCAGAGGGAAAAGAATAGGGAATGTAAAATAGAGGAGAATCAGTAGAGAGTAGAAGAAAATTCAAACTTCCTACTCATCTGAAAACTCTTCAGGATTTTCCTGCATTTGCCATATATATCACCATTGTAGGATTTAAAGAAAGGAGTTGATATTATCTGAGAAATATTTCTGAACATTCTCTGTGGCTGCTATCAGTAGTAGGACCTACATGGCGATTATACAATGGTCACAGTTATACAATGGTCACAGTTGCACAATGGTCACAGTTGCACAATGGTCACATCAAACCTGTGAATTACATATAGCTCCATCAACTTCAGAGATGCGAAAAGTGACACACATACTTTGCCTGAGATTAAGTGGCTAATAAATGAAGGATAAACACAGTTTAATGCCTGTGGCATTACAGTGTGCCTACATTGCTGCCTATTGAACAACACAAGGTTTGGTTAACATTTTCACTAACTGAGGGATGTCCATTTCTCTTGAAGAGGAAATCCTCATTTGAACCCCAATGCAGGATTCCAGTCCCTCTCATATCTGGACCTTCATTGTCAGTTGTGCTCTGACTGCAGAGAGCACCTGCATATCTTCTCTGACACCAGCTCAAGAACAGCAACTGAATTTCTGCCTTAACTCCATCTCTTCTTGTGGAGCAATGGTTAATTTGAATATTTGTCAGATCATAGCCTGGGTACATTATACTAATGTCAATATTTTTGCTACCTAATAGTACACAGTATTATACCTGAAATCTTCCAGGCTGGCAGGGTGCCATTACAAAAGATTGCTTAATTGCAGATTACTACTGTACATTTAAATTTCAGTAGCATATTAAGTTGTCAGACTTAATTACCATTATATGTTTAGATTATGCCACAGATTATTTAGTTCACTACCTAGGTTTGCCAACCTGTTCTCTGTGTGATGTGACAGGGCAATAATTAGAGCATCACTGAAAAATCTGAGGCTTACCATGGGGATGTCCAGGCTCTTACTGATCCCGTGGAAGGTTCTCACTTGCCCCTCCTGCAATGTGCCTTAATGACTCATTACTGCAGGAGCCTTGATGATTCTAAGCCAACTTCACCTGTACTTTCAGCATAACTTGAAGGTGTGGGATTCCATAAAGTCTCCCACGAAGGCTCACCAAATATGTTTGGGTAAGATTTCTTAGTCTAGGCCCAAATGGCATTTTTGAGTTCCACAGAATTATTTTTATCATTTGGAGCGATTCTGTGTACCACAGGATGTTCAGGGGCATCTCTGACCGCTGCCACCATATGCATTCCTCTCCCAAGTGTGACAACCTAACCTGTCTCCAGACATTGTCAGATGTTCTCTGGGGCAAAATTTCCCCAGTTGAGAATTATTGTCTTTAAGGAGGAATAAGACTTCTATCTTATCAGCTGGTCTTCTTGTGGTGCTCAGCATGAAAGATGTTTCCTATCTATTGGTAACATTTCACAGTTTTTATACTATCAGTTCTTGGCAGTAGCACAAAAGGAGTATTCATACAAAATGGAAAGAATGGTTAAGAGAATGACAGAACCAAACAGATTTGTCTGAAGATAGGGGGTTACTGTATATAGACTCCAGGTACAGCCTGTGATTCCAGAGTAATCAATCAAGTTTCTAAGCAATGCCCTTGGTTACTCTGATGTTTACTTGAAATGTGCTCAGGGTGGGACTTCACAGACACCACTTGCATCAGATAGCTGATTTTAAGAGCTTCTTTAAGTGGTTCCAGAAAGTCCATCCATGATGCTATGATGACCATTTAAGAAATGCACAAAGTCGGCAAAATTTTCTTCTAAACACTCCTTTTTGACTTTGGGGAGAACACTGGCTCAAACTACAGGATGTTTCAAACACCCCGACATTCCTTCATTTTCTCCTCTTTTCTCTTCCTCCTTCTACCAATCTAGTTAACTAATCATTTAAGGGCAACCTTCTAGGCCACTACAGAGTAGTGCAGGGTGTGTCATGAAAATCAATATATTTTTGTTGGATGGATGAATAAGTGAAAGCATGATTATTTTGATCTAGTAATACTAGATAGAAGGGGAACAAAATTAAAGTGATAGGTTTATATGTGTATAACCTACATAGGATATGAGATTTTTAAAAATCATTATAAGGAAGGAAGGAAAAATGATTCAAATTAGATGGCCTATGGTGTCAGTTTTATCCAGGCTGATAGTGAAAGCATACTTTCATCTGTATATTGATAATAATGCTTTTAATGTGAAAACTACTTCTCAGCCCAGTTATAAAAAGTTGAAATCATAATAAACATACACACACATACACAAATACACCCTACACACTCACTCCCCTCCTCTCAGACACATACACACACTCATCCACACACACATTCACCCCCAAACTCACACTCCCCTGCATGAGGAAGCCTAATAGTTAAGAATTTACATGCAGAACGCAACAGCAATGCTAATGATCTTCAGATTTATTCAGCATTTTAGTACACATCTCCTTAGTCTGAATTTTTGTGGAGTTTGTTGCTTTCTAAGGATGTGACTCAAGCAGCTGGTTCAAGTCATCTACCAGAGATTAGACTCTTCGAGTCAATTTTCCCTTTGTCTCTAGTCTTACATTTTCCCAGTAATGTCTTGGGGTCAGAGATAGGTCTTTGTTTTCCCAATTTGACTAATGACCATTTCTCTTCACTGTCATGTTCACAAACAACTCATACTGCCTTTGAATTTGAACTTCCAACTTCCATGCTATGGAAGCTATGTTTCTAGAGGACTGAGGACCTGTTCATGATGCAGGGGGAAACATCACCAAAGGGATGTGGTTAGAGCCAGGGAATTTCAATCATGTTTTTATTTTTTTCCTTGAGTTGAAGATTTTCAGATACAGATATTTCTTCAGCAATTGTATTTTCATATTAGGTGAAAGGCTAGTACTCCATTTTTATAAGGACCCTAATATATATGGCTTTCCCCACCTTGTGGTAGAAGGGAAACCATACTTTCATATTGGGGATTTACCTTGAGCACACTTTGGGTACAGTGAAATGTGTGGAAACTCTTAAAGTTTCAGTTTACTGGCCACACATGCCAATTCATTAATATGTGCTAAGAATCTAACTGTCCATAATTGCATTTGACATAGAGAAGAATACAAAGGACAAGACTTGATCCCCATCCTGAAGAAGGCCCCACTGCTCACTATCTCTTTCTAATCAGAAGCTTAATAATGACACTTCTAGCCTATAAACATTTGAAGGTAACTTATATATAATCTTTCTACAATTATACTTTATTCATCACCATAAAACTAATAATAGTGACTTGAATATCTATAAGGTTCAGTGAGATTGATTAATAGCACACATCATTAATTATAGCAATATGTCAACTGCTAATTCACTGATGTTTGATTAGTAATAATAAAATTTGTAACTCCATGATTTTCCTTACCCTGAGAAAAGTGGTAGTTGCATTCCATTTAGAAAATGGATATTATTTTCATTTTACTTAAAATTCCAAAGCAGTGAACTGTTCACTCCTTGTATTAAAGAAATCTCAGAGCTGGAATGGATCTTAGCGGATATCTAGATTAGCCTTCTTTCTCCATAATTCAAATACCTCAGAAAGGAGTTAATTCCCTTTTCTTAGTCCATTCTTGCTACTCTCTTCCTATTAGGGTATTGTCCTTACCTATTTCTGAAGGAGTGTGAGCAGAAGGGCTAACCCTCAGTGATCTGATGTTGAGGGTGGCCATGATGTTCTCTGTGTCTACCAAAGTTGGACTGCTTGATGACTTGGATGGAGAGGATAAGACAGCACACATAGAACAATCCTCTATATTGACGGCATGGAGGTCTCCAGAATAAAGGGCAGATCCCTAATGAGAGAAAACCAGGTTGAGGAGGGACTTCTGAGAGGGAAGATTCTATATCATGGCTCACAGTGGTAGCTCTTTATGGGTGTTGCAATTTTTGAGCCACAGCTTTTCTAGTCTCCACTGATTTGGCTAATGACTTATTTTCCTAACATCTGACATATGTAGCCTTATCAAGTATTAATAAGTCTCATTGTGACTAAATTTGATAGAGCATTTCCTGGGATCAATTGGGGATGAGAAAATGGAGCAGGGAGATTTAGGAGCCCAAATCTATTACATGGCTCAAGTGGCAGAGACAGCAGAAGAATAAGGGTAGCAGTGGTGTGGAAAAAAATTCAAGAAAGACATTATGGACCTATTGGCAAATGGTGCATTTTCACAATTTTGCTAATAACTATACCTAACTCTACTTGTATTCTTCAGATGAACTAGTGAAATGTCCATTGTTTTTCTTTGGTGGAGGAATAGGGATAGATTTGGTCCTGTCCTCAGGTAGCTTAGACTTGAATATCGGAAATTAATAACATTACCCACCTCTGGAGATTTCAAATTATTCTCTTTTTTCCTGTCTATGGACAAAGTAATAGGGCACAGTAGGCAACATTATGTTGTATTTTCTACAAAGCAAATAAAATTTACTGCTTAAAAGAACCATTTTTGAGTTTAAAAATATTTCTTATATATTGCACATTAAGTCATAACATATCAAATGTTATGCTCTGGTGAATTTTACACTGTGCATGATGTTATTTTTCTGACCAGGGAAATGGTGGCATTGAATACCATATAGGCCTATGAAGGCTCAAATCAAATGTAACAATACCTTGCCTACCTAGTGGGTCTATTTCTCAGACATTTAAGTGCAAGTCCTGCTTCTCATACATCTATCAAGGATCATGGGGCATTGTATCTCAGAAAAGATGTGTCTCCAGAAAAGATGAGAAGGAGCACAAAGCCTGGCCAGTACCAGTTTAAGTATGCCATGAGTCAGAATCTGATCAGAAATGCAGAGAAACCTCTTATTTATATATGGTCTATAAACCATGGTCAGAAACAGAAAAGAAACATGAAGCTTCCTGAGCATGGTGTGTTCCTGTGTGGATTTAAACCTATTCCTGATAATTACTGGCTGGGTACACTTGGGCAGGTTAAGTTTAACATCTTTAAAATCAACCCTATGGGATTATCTTGAGAGTTAAGTGAATTAACTCTTAGAACAGTTTCCGGTATCCACTAAGCACTATATAACCTCAAGCTATAAATGTGTCATTATAGTTAATATTTAAATTATTGTTAATTTATTAGTATTGTTTATTAGTAACTTTGTAGTAGTAGTGATAATATTATCAGTATCATGATCACTATAAATATTTACTGTCTCCTTTGCGATACTTACAGGCAGAATGTATATCTGGGGGAAATTCCGGAGAAACCGCCACTCTCTCTGCAGGTAATCCAGAGACCCAATGAACACTATATCCTTCAGCTCCTGCCTGGTGTAGTTGCTGGCTCTCAAGGGCATCACGAAGTTCCGAAGCCCCATCAGTGTTGAGTGGGCATCTCCAAAGATGCATGCTACAATGTGGTTCCGAAACTCATGTTTTGGCTTCTCCGTTCGTTTCTAAGCGTAAGTGTGCCAGAGTTTAGTCATTTTTTAGGAACGAGAGGAGTACCCCTCTTTGAGGCCTCCTGCCCTCAACCCCACTCTATCAGGCACCTCACAGCAGTCCTCTCACATGGCAACACATTTTTTCAGATTGCTCATAAGAATGGAACTTGTGCACAGAGGGGCATTATTATACTTTTGATTTTTGGTATAGTTCCTTCTTATTCGTATTTTAGTTTTCTATCACCCTAGAGTGCAACAATTAAAACTCAAAGCAGCCTCCTTCCTCAGGGCATGAAATCATTGAGCCAAAAGAGGAAACCAACCCTTATTTTCATTGTTTTTCACCCCTGTGTGGGCCATAGTAAGATTCATTGAAAAAAGCTAAGATGTTCCAAATTCTATTGCTAAAATTATGTCTTCTGGTGAGCCCTGGAAATTAATCAAGGAGATTTTTATACATGTGAAAATATACATTAGCTCAAGCCATATGAAACTACCGTTTGACAGGGTCAAAAATGGCTAAGTACTGGCAAGTTCATGTGTTCCAAACTAACAGGCTGAACTAACGCAATAGGCTGTTTTGAGAGTCAAGTAAATTCATCATGCAAAATGCACAAAAGAAATTGGAAGGCTATAAAAATTCCATTCAGTCCAAACATTTGAATATGCCTTATGTTATTATCAGCATTACCAATTGTTAGCATCTCTCTTGCATGTCTAAAATGAAAACAAAGTAATATACATTACAGATATTTAGATTAGGCTTCATCCATTCACAGACTCATAAAACTAATAAAATGTTAACTTAAAAATTTTCTCATAGAAAACTTATTTTAAGTTGTTGTCTGGTTTATCTCAGGAACGAGTCAATATTTCCTTCCATGGTGTTGGGATGGATTAAAATATACACTAGACCTGCAATCAGAAGGCCTGATTTTTAATTTTTTTTCTTTTTCATTAGTTGTATGACTAAAAACAAACTAGTTCACCTCCCTGGCTCTGAATCTTTAAGTTTAAAATAGTTTAAAGATAAAAGTTAACTTCATTGTGGAAATCAATGAATACATTGGAAGTACAAGTACAGTGTTTATTCATTAACTGTTGTTCAATAACTATTCATCCAATCTGAATCCTATTGTGTTTCTAGATTTTCAGGGAAAGACATGTAGAAGCTAGTAGAGAAAGCAGTTAAATGTATTTAAAATCACTTCATGTATGAGTGTGTTCACATTCATAAGCTCGAGGACACTCAAGCTGTTTCGAATGGATGGCTGGTTCTCCCTCATGCCAGTCCTTTGAAGGGTTAAGTGACAAGTTTCTATGAAATAGCAGTTGACAAAATCTTACAGGATAAGTAAGTAACATCTGTCATGGCAACAATTAGAGTTTGTCAAATTAGCATATACTAGGAAACACTCTTTTTCCAAGGGGAATTTCCCTGTGAGGGGAAATAAAGCTACTTGTCGGGAGAGCTTTCCTAGAGTGATATGAATCTTAACCAAATCTATTAAATAATTGTCTCCAGCTAATCTGATTAGTTTAACTTGAATAATGAAACCTCTAACGGTATTTAATGCAACATGCCTGAAGTCCAACAATTGCTCTTCTGGGTAGAACTAAACAATTAGAAAGAAGATACATGGCAGAATGCATTAATGGGCACAGCTAGAGAGGCAATTTCTCCAAGAAACTGTGGCACAAACTGCTTTCCAATTGAGAAAGATGGTGACTTTTGGGGAAGGGACGGATGTTCTATTTATTCAGAGTAACTTAAATCAATGACTTCCACTGGGCTTTTCTGCAAACTAAACCAAATTCCAAGCTTCTTTGAATGTTGCAACTTGGACACTAATCCTTCAGGGTCATAAAACAGAATTTCTAAAACTGTAAGATCTTCTGAACATGAAAAAGGACTCAGTTTTCTCAACTATATTCCTTATCAAGCATCAGTAAGGGATAGAGCTATCATAGCAACCTGTCAGCATGCTTAGTATATATGGTATAATAAAATGTCTGCTACTGCCATTTCTTGGTTTCTTAGATGCTTCCATCTGCAACCAACTTCCCAACCTTTCTAAAGATTTCCCTCCCACTGGAAACATGTTTGGCTTCTTGCTCAACGGATGTTTATTACATTTAATTTAGAATAAGCCATAATTGCTAAAATGGTGAGTTTCAGCAACCCTAATAGTCTTTCAGTTGATATGACAGCTGTGAAATTTTATGCTTCTGATCGAATGATGGATCATGCTTTTACAAAAATTGGAATACATTCTGTCAGGACCCTGGCATTTAGTCACAAAGTTTGTGTATAAGACTGTTTGCACATTTAACAGAAAAAAAAAAGTGAGCTAAACTATTTTTGGAAAGCAAGAAAAAATATGCAATTATCAATTAGTCACAGTTGAAAAAATATATTGTATTTACACAATGTGAAAACAACCATTTTTATTAGTTAAATTTACCAACAACAGCTTGCAAGGTAAATCACTGAGATGACACTCGAGTTTCCAACTCCAGAAAAGGAGAACAGACGTGGATCCCAAAACCAAGTGTCACAACCTGGATTAGTTTTTTTACATCTTATCGATAGCATTTCGGTGAACTGATTTAGTTGCCTTGAGAGGACAGAATCAGGGACAGGATTCTAATATGTACAAGGATTCACTCATGATGGGGTCATCCAGAAGACACATTCTTGGCCACTTTATTAAGTAGAAATATAGACAATTTTAAGAAAAAAAAATATTCCAGAAAATTCAAACTTTAAAACAAATAAATTAGGGAAATAGTTATGTTTTTCTTAAACACTTCAGAGTTCTTGTAAGTTAATAGATTTCTCTGGTGCATTTAAGTTAATTAGATTCACCAGCAAAAGAGAAAAATTTCAGTAGAACGTCATTCTGAATGACTGACTTGGCTCAACTGTGAAAGGAGGCAGAAGTGGAAACCTATCTGATTATTTTAACTCCCACTCACATCGTCTCAGTCAGGTGCTGCTTTTTGTACACAGCCCTCATCTGACTGGGTGAGACATATGTTTTCTGTTCAAAATTCACAATTTACAAAGAGAAAGGCCAGGTGCTTATCACTAAGAAAAAAAATATCATTTACCATAAAGAGGATCTTTTTTGTTTGAAATTTGGTGCACGGTCACCTACCAGAATCACCTGCTCCAGGGGAATTGCTTTGCACCAGTGGAACATGCCGCTGCTATCCAGCCGGTCGGAGTCCTGGTCTGTTTCGTATGGTTGAGCTCTAGAGAGGAAGAATGGAAAGCTTGAGAACAGTTGGGGCTCTGATGGAACAGCTCAAGAGTTTTGAGCCCAGAGTGAAAACACATACATACACATAAGGAGAAAAGACGGGTCTGTGGGACACCAGAATAAAGACTGCATCTGGGATCACCTGAGAGTTGAATGTCCAGGTCATATTGTAGCTGAAGCCAAGCTACACTGCCTTTCTGAATACACAATGTAAAAGTTAGAGACTGAATCATGCTGACCTCCCTCTTCTTAGTCTGTTTTCCTCCTCTCTGCTCTCTTATGGACCCCTATTGAAATATCCTCACCTATTAAATGCATTCCTTAATTCCAGCACAGGCTTGCATTTGACTAGACTTTCCCTAATCTTTATCTAAGCCTCTCAAAGCTTCCATGCAATCACCCTGCACTGCGAGTAGGCAGAATGCTTGCCAGGCAATACATTTCATTACAAAAAAGGGGGTTAGAAGGATATTTTGAAAAATCTTACTCACATCCTAACACAGGCATATTTGCTTGTTAGACAAGATAGGAAACTTTTAAAATTACAGAAAAGTTAGGGTTAGAAAGGACGTATTTTTTAAAAAATATATTTATTTATTTATGCATACAGAACTGAGGTACAGGCCAGAGGTGCAGGGGCAGTGAAAGGATTCACCAGAGGCAGAGAGGGGAACAGAACAGGCAGATCACTGAAGTATACAGCTGAGGGGAGCAGCGGGCCAGTCAGGAGAGGTCTGCCACGCCATATGGATCACCTCCAGGGCCAGGAATCGAACTCGCACAGAAGTGGCTGCTGCTAGCTTGCAGTGCTGCATCCTTACCTGTTGTGGCACCAGAAAGGCCCTATTTTAGTTGAGAAACTCTAGGAGTAGATTGTACAAACAACCTCCAAATCCAGGGGTTTAAGGCAACACAGGCTGTTTTTCACCCATACTGTATAATTCCCTCAGGTGACAGTTGCCTGTGGTCCATACAGCCACTCAGAGGATAGGAGGCCAGAGGCTCTAACATCTTAGGCCCCACCTAGAACACACATTATCCACATGCTGTAATGTACTTAAATGTAGCAAGCAAGGGAAGAGAAAGAGACTGGAGTGCCAAGGTCAATTTTTTAATTACCTTGGCCCAAAATGACCCACCTCACTATCACTCACATGTCATTGACCCAGACTGGTCACTTGGCCAGTGAGGAAAAGTTAGGGAAAGTGGGAAGCCAGTTAAATATTTGGGGAGCTTTTTTGTCTCTAGTAGACTTTAAAACTATTGTTAGAGTTTATGGGTTCAAGTCAAAAAGCTAACAGCCAGTGAGGAAAAGTTGGGGAAAGTGGGATGCCAGTTAAATATTTGGGGATCTTTTTTGTCTCTGCTAGACTTTAAAACTATTGTTAGAGTTTATGGGTAAAAATCAAAAAGCTAACAAATTGTAAAGGATGTACTTGAATATTGAGCTGAAGTTGAGATTAGGGGTGCTCACAATATCCTATTGTCCTTTGCTTAGTGTATGGACACTAAGTGGGGCCACATGACGATTTCTTCTGAACAATGAAATGTGAAAGGTGATGGTTATGTCATGAAAAGCTTCCATTCGACATTTGAATCTCTCCTCGTCTGCCATAGAGATTCTCTTCTTATCTGTCATAGAGATGACCAGTCTGGGTACAAGAATGAGTATGGGATGAGACTGGCCTGACCTCTTTGATCGTGGATGGACATATAACACAAGCAAGAACACACCTGTGTTGTGCTAAGTCACTGGGATCTTATAGTTGGTATCACAGCATAAGACCATTTAATGCAGACAAAAATACAAATGTTTAAGAAAAGAAATCATGTCCCACGTAATATTAATAACTAGAGAAGTGCTGAGGAAATGTTTCCTTTAGTCTGTGAAAAATAAAGTTCCTCCTCTGAGGTGTGCATGGTGGTTCACACTGCCTACTAGCAGACAGAAGTTTCTGGAATGTTTTGCAAAAAAAAAAAAAGAAAAAGAAACCCTTCTATAATCCAATGCTTTACACACTTATTTGACCACAAAAACTTATACTACTTATTTATACTCTTATTTTATTTATTTATTTATTTATTCAATTAAAATCATTTGTTACTACCTCTTCAAGCCCCTTATGAGACATACTGTGCGACACTATAGGTACGGTGATCAGTAGCTGGTAGCAGCAACACTCTCAGGTGAAATTATACTATACATTTGAAACAAATTCAACCCACTGCTGTCTGTGCTGAGTGCCTAGAGGTCTTCCCCAGGAAGGAATACAGCTTGACATTCAAGGCCCAGACTCAGACTTCAACATAATGACAAGCAATCTGTGCTCTAAGTTTATAAACTGCTATCTTAGGCATAATTTTCAAAAGGACTGACTTACTTTCGCTTAGATTGAAATGTCAGAGTTAAAGTCATAGGAGGGCAAAAGAAGCTGGGGTAGAAGGATGGAGCAGTGAGAAAGGGCTTCAAAAGTGGTTAATTGCCAATGAGAGCATCCAAGGCCGGAGTACAATTATTTTCCTCTCCATTAAAGACCTACCTATAATTTAGTGGATTTGAGTTATGTATCCAGCCAGAAGACACTGAAATGCAAGTCTCAAGTGAGTTGGACTGAAATGGGATATTTGTTCATTCAAATGAATATGCCTTTTGGGTGGTCTAAATATAAGTCATGTATCCCTCTTTACCCTTGTAAGAGGCACACAGACTCTTAACACACCAGTCCTATGGTGATTGCTTTATGCCACACTTGTTAAAAGATTCACTACTGGAAACAGCTAAAAGCTGAAACTAGTTTTGCTTTTTATCAGGATTTATAGAACTGCCTATGTGACTCATTCATGAATTCTTTTTTATTTAATCATAATTTTCTTACTGTCCTTCAGATGTTGAAGCTATGTCCAAGATCACTTCAGGAAAGTGGTTTCCTGCTCTGTCCTGAGCACTCAAGTCTACAACTCCTACTGCTTTTCTTCTTGTCACTTTTCTTTATTTTCTTCCCATTGCCTCTGTTTTTTTTTTCTGCTTCCTCCTTTTCATTCCTTTCTCCTCCCCCTTCTCTCCATGTGAGTGAGGAGTCCTTGGCCTGATAATTAAATGCCCTTCTGGCAAACGGAAGGTGATCTTCTCCCAAACACATTTTAACTTGACTCAAAATAGCAAATCAATCACTGTACACTTTCCTATGTTAATAAAAGCATGATCTATGTACACAAGCTGTCACAGACAACATCTTTCCTCATTCTGATGTTATGGAAAACAGATACGCCTTAGAGGAAACACCTGTTGGAGACCTGTATGAAAGAAAAAGCTGGAGGAGATCTACTTCATCATAAAGGCATCCATCTGGCATTCTTGCCAAAGTAAAACCTGATGCAATTTAGTTCGCCATCCCTTAACGAAAGTTCCCTTCTGCCATGTGCCTTGCAAATGACATGATTCTTGCAGAAATATACCTTCCTAAAGAGACTAATAAGTCATCTATGAGAATGTGTACCATTGGCAATCTCCGAACATGGAAACAAGGATTAGAGTGTAAAGACGGAGATGATGGGAGGAAAGGCAGCCAGAATGCACCACCCAGCTCATTCAGAGGAAAAAAGGCAACTCATGTCCTGACCTTTGTTCAAAGTCTCTTGAGTGAGGGGGTTTAGATGAAGAGAAGTTGGCAAGAAATGGAAGCCAGCAGAGAGGGTCACTAACAGGACAGGATTAGAGTGAGTGTGGGGCTGGTTTGCTGGCCACCGGTGGGCTTCTCACTGTCCACTCAAAGTGTGGCACTTCTGCCTCTGCATATCCAAGAGGCAACGTACATTGAAACGTCCTCAGAATCAGATCTTTGACCATGTCTGGGAGTTGACAGATACTCTGTGCTGGGTAAGAAGAGTTTTTACAGTCAGTCTACCTGCGAACATGCAAAGCATCATGTAAATGAAGTCTCCAGGGCTCTTTTCTGAGGATCATCCCTCTGGGCTGATCCGATATGCATGAAGTCAGTGTTCTGTGGTAACATCTTGAACATGTCCCAAATAAGGCAGGTGGGGTCTTTCCTCTCTGCTTCCTGGAACCATTCTGAAGAGAATTTTCATTTTCCCATAGCAAACTCATCCAGTGTGAACCCCACCACTTAAAGGAAAATACCAATGAATGACCATGTCTTTCATTTCCAAGTGTGGCATTTGAAAAGAAGGAAATTAAGTATGTAGGAAAGTCTCTATTAAGAAGACTGAGAATTTTTTGGTTCTAGATCAGGAAACTTAAGTTTCCATGAGTTTAAGTCTTTGTTGTTATTTCCTCCAATTTATAGCCTTAACTCAGATTTTTATTTGAAGATGACCATCCAATGGATAAGATCCTGCACTTCTCACAATACCAAGGAAAAATTTCAAAACTTAACTACAGTTCCTTTTTTTCTTTCTTTTTGCAATTGTTAAGACATCTTGGCTTGTGACCATTCCTTTTGAAATCTTTCTAAAACTTCATAAGTAGCTTATAAAAACTTAGGAGAGAATTGTCTGGTTTGGTTGTAGAACAATATATATTTTTTGTTCAAGTCTTGAGTTAAATAAAAATAATATAGTTTTAGCACAGGGAGAGGACCAGCCTCTCACAAGTACTGGGGAGGAGAAGAAGAATATGTACTTATGTCTAGGAATTTCAATGTCTTCTTGGCTCAATCTTTGGGGAAGTGTACTGCAACTGCCTCTTGAAAGTGACAATCAAGTTCCCAACAAAGATGGAGGGAAGGACCTCAGTCCAACTCCACTGGGTGCTACTGAGGGTTTTGAATGCTTAGGGCTACAGCTGCCCTCTCCAATGAATTTGCATAAACAACAAAGCTGTTCAGTTCATATAAGAAGGCTATGGAAACCTAGAAATATTTATTTTCAATTCTGGCTACCACTTTTTTATGTTCTAGGAAAGAGTAAAAACACTTAAAATGTGGGGATGTGAGGCAAATTGTAGATTTCATGCTCCCAATTCCATGCTAA